GCCCTGGCTGCCCTGCGAGCTGAGATGTGGCTCCTGCCCGCTCCCCTGGGCGGGGGAGGGACCCGGCAGCCTCCTGTCACCGAGCGGGCCGGGCAAAATCGAGTTTGGGGCCGGACTCTGCCACAGCCCTCCCCTCCCCCCCGCAAGTGACCCATGGGCGGGCTGCAGAGGCCCTGCCTGGCGTGCTCACCCCAGAGGCCAGATTCTGAAACAGCTCCCCCCTCCCCCCCGCAAGTGACCCATGGGCGGGCTGCAGAGGCCCTGCCTGGCGTGCTCACCCCAGAGAGCCGAGCTGGGCCCAGCACCCCCTCCTGGGCAGCTCCAGCTGGTTGTGCCATCCCCCCATTCCCTGAAACACTTTCCTGAGCGCCCAGCTGCCCGGCCCACCAGCTGGCAATGCCACTATGGGGCCATGGAAAACCACCCCTTCTGTGTTCCCCTGCCTGTAGGTGTGTGCCATGCCAGCCTCCCGCCTTGTATTCTGCCCCAGTGGCACACATTGCAGGATCAGAGCCTAAATCACTTCACCCAACCTGCAGCTCAATCCCCACTGAGGGTGACATCTCACATAAGGGGTTGGCAATAATTTTTTGCCAGCAGGCATTTCAGAAATGTCTGAAGTGGCCCTGGGCTGCACCAAGCAGAAGTGGTGGGGCTGGGATACTTCCAGGTTTCCTGATTGGTCTGGGGGTGGGGGAGCACCTTTCCCTTCCCACTCCCCCTACTCCTTAGGTGCCCATTCCCCTGGCTTGGAGGAGACTTCCCACGCCGGCAGGCCAATCGGCCTGGGCGCGGGGGAGTGTGCAAATTTTGCTCTGCTCTGTCTCATAGACTCATGGACTTTAAGGTCAGAAGGGACCATTGTGATCATCTAGTCTGACCCCCTACACAGTACAGGCCACAGAATCTCACCCACCCCTCCTAGAATAATCCTCTCACCTATATCTCAGATATTGAAGCCTTCAAATACTTTGAAGACCCCAAGATGCAGAGAATCCTCTAGCTGTGATCTGTACCCCATGCTACAGAGGAAGGTGAAAAACCTCCAGGGCCTCTGCCAATCTACCCTGGAGGAAAATTCTTTCCCGACCTCAAATATGGCGATCAGCTAAACCCTGAGCATGTGGGCAAGACCCCAGAAAGTTCTCTATAGTAACTCCTATCATCCCTCCATTGACCTATTTCCCACTGATAATGAATGGTCAATTAGTTACCAAGATCATGTTATCTCATCAAACCATCCCCTTCATAAACCCATCTAGTTTAATCTTGAAACCAGATAGATCTTTTGCCCCCACTACTTCCCTTGGAAGGCCGTTCCAGAACTTCACTCCTCTAATGGTTAGAAACCTTCGTCTAATTTCAAGTCTAAACTTCCTACTGGCCAGTTTATATCCATTTGTTCTTGTGTCCACATTGGTATTAAGCTTAAATAATTCCTCTCCCTCCCTGGTATTTTTCCCTTTAACATATTTAAAGAGTGCAATCATGTCCCCCCTCAGCCTTCTTTTGGTTAAGGTAAACAAGCCAAGCTCCTTAAGTCTCCTTTCATAAGACAGGTTTTCCATTCCTTGGATCATCCTAGTGGCCCTTCTTTGTACCTGTTCCAGTTTGAATTCATCCTTCTTAAACATGGGAGACCAGAATTGCACACAGTATTCCAAATGGGTGTCCTCGCCCTGCACAGCACTTAAAAGCGCCACATGCTTCTGGCAGGGCAGGAAGAGGCTTCATGCGCTTCCCCCACCCTCAGGCCATCAGGGCCCTTCCAGGAGTACGTGGTGCTTCCAAGCACTGGATGTTCCTGGCAGGGTGGAGGAAACTTTGTGCGGTCCCCCTCTCTCCCAGGCCCTAATTGGCAGGGGAGTGGCAGGGCCTCTGTGGACAGGATCCATCCTTTTGCCCACCCCTGTCTAGCATGGTAGAAAACATCACATGTGATGTCTACTTCTGTTTTTTGATACTCTGTGGAGCATGTACTTTCTTGCAGATGGGCAGTAGTACTTTCTTGCCTTTCAAGTTGCCTGTGGCTGCATACACTTTTTCATGTTATAGACTTGAAACAGATATGGTTTTCCTTCTAAGGCAGGGATTGGCAATGTACAGCTTGTACCATAAGTGGCATGCAAGATTATTTTGAGTGGCGCGTGGCCCTCTTTCCCCTCCCTCTCCCCCTGGCCTCCTTGCCCCAGCGCTGCTCCCAGGTGGCTGCGAGTCCCAGCACTGCTACCCAGCACTGCCAGTGTGTGCGCTGGAGGCACTGGGATGTGGGGGCGGGAGGGGGATGAAGGAGGATACAACACACACTTGAGGCTACCAAGAGAGATTAATGAAGCTGCTAAAATGTAAGTAGGACTGTTATTGACTTTACAGATTATCAATGGCATGTAGAATGTAAATAGAAGTAAGTTGAATCTTGGCACGCCTCTTCTGAAAAGGTGCTGACCCCTGTTGAGGGCTGCTCTAGAAGCAGAGTCCCATTGGCTTAATGTTAAGTCTCATTTGAAACTGACTTGGTTCAGTTGGTGCAAAAGGCTGTGTGGTTATACAAATTTAAACTGGTTTAACTAAACCAGAGCAGGTTTGTGTGTAGGCCAAGCCTAAGGCCTGAGTGCATTATGCTGTTCTGGGCCCATGATAGATTCAGTGAAGTAAAATGTTGAGTAGTCAGGAATCCACAAGGGGAGAGGCAATTCTCGATTTAGTCCTGAGTGAAGCGCAAGATCAGGTCCAGGAGATGACCATTACAGGACCGCTTGGGAATAGTGACCATAATATAATAACATTTAACATTCCTGTGCTGGGAAGAACACCTCAGCAGTCCAGCACCCTGGCTTTTAATTTCAAAAAGGGGAACTACACAAAAATGAGGAGGTTAGTTAAACAGAAATTAAAAGGCACAATGACTAGAGCCAAATCCCTGCAAGCTGCATGGAAACTTTTTAAAGACACCATAACAGAAGCCCAACTTAAATGTATACCCCAAATTTAAAAACATAGCAAGAGACCTAAAAAAGGGTCACTGTGGCTTAACCACCATGTAAAAGATGCAGTGAGGGACAAAAAGGCATCTTTTTAAGAAGTGGAAGTCCAATCCTAGTGAGATAAATAGAAAGGAACATAAACACTATCAAATCAAGTGTAAAAATGTAATAAGAAAAGCAAAAAAAGATTTGAGGATCAGCTAGCCAAAAGTTCAAAAAGAAATAACAAAACTTTTTTAAGTACATTAGAAGCAGGAAGCCTGCTAAAAAACCTGTGGGTCCCCTAGATATAAAAGGAGCAATCAAGGATGATAAAGCCATTGC